TAGGGAAATAAAACAAAATGCCTAATATACATATTTAATTTCTAATGAAAGTTTTGCAAAACAACACGAAAAAGAAGAAGAAATAACAACAGCACCGATTCACTTTTCGAAATGAAGAGAAAATAAATTTTTATTCTGATATTTTCGATTTCATTTACGGTAGAATTGCTCAAAGCCGATATTTGTTACTTCGTTGCAACCGACCAAAATCCCAGTTAAATGGCACAGCAAAATTGACAAAATCGCGTCGATTTCGTTGCATTGCGGGTTCACTGTTTTGTGGCCGGATTCAACATGAAATGTGCGCCAATCGGTAAATTCAAAGCATGTTATCGTAACAAATCGAAAGAAAGAAGAGAAAAAAAAGTTGGTTGGTTAGTTAATTAATCGAAATCTAGAAAAAGTGCATTGCATGCCAGTCAATCAGCCGGAATTGCACCGACCAAATGTGGCAAAAAACATACATTGCACATACACAACATATGCGAAATGTGATTTATCTCGATAGTGTAAGCGATAAACACATCTTGCATCTATTGAATTTTGCGCACTTATCGTGTCACATATTGTAATATACTATACGGCATATATACATTGCACGCGTACACCAAATCCAAAGAATTCACACATGCAGCCGTGATCATTTACAAATGAGATTAGCCCATTCTACGACATCTCATATGGCGATAAGGTTCTTTGTGCGCATTTCACGTGCAAATCGAATTGGAGAAAGAAAGAGACGGACAAAAATGAAGATTGGCCAACTACCTCTATTTCTCATTGGTTGTCGAACAATTACGCTCATTTTCAGACTCGATTTCCTTTCGATTTCGCTACTTTCGTGACCATACGATATGTGGTAATTTAATATATCGATGAAATAGGTGAAAACGAAACGGTGTATGTGTACATCGGTCATAATATCTTTGGTGTCACGGTGAGAACGTATCGGAATATATTGCAATGACAATTAGCATGTGGAAAAGCACAGCTACTACTCTACCGTTGAAAATCAGCATAACAAAAAAAAAAACAAACAACAACACCGATACAATCGCATGGATAAATAATTTAATAAGGTAGAAAAAAAGTGCCGCACGTCCATTCATTATAAATTTATTTGTACGGCTGTCAATTTTCCCTTGTTGACGGCTTGTTTTTCGGTTGTGCACAATTTTTGCATAGAAAGTGTGTGTAGACTTTGTATTGCACGCGCATTCAGCGCACAATACAACCCGAACACCACTCTCCATCGAGACGGCGGTCATTCGATACGAACAAATTTCTTACTTTCATCAAATTGTTCAGTTTTCGTGTATTGTGTCTGCACCGTGTTTCTTTCGACAAGCTTAGAAAAAACAAATGCTTTTATGCAACGTATGTGATCGTAAAAATTGATTAATGTACGCTTGGTTAAATTGGCGGTCGATGTTTCACAAATCAACACACTCAAGTTTAATTTGATTATCTCTTGGCTTTTTTTTCGGCGCATTTTACTCCGAATACCTTATAAAGCAAGTGCAACATTCTCTTGGGTACCGACGGCTGTCGGCCTAAAAACAACAATAAATTTATGAATTTATCGTTTTCCAATCTTTTTTTTTGCTCAAACATTGTCCCATTGTGAGCGTGCATTCGGAATGTTGTGTTCTATTGCCTTTTTTTCCTCAATCAAATGGAAACCCGGGGCCCTCAGCATGTAACACTTTTACGGAAACGCAAACTGATATGCACTGGTTTTCACAACTATATACCATGCAGCAGTACAAGTACAGCACAGTTATCTGAACGTGTCACATTACACATTATACGTGCCAATCTGAAGAGAAACCATAGATACACCTGTTTTCATCACCATTTTTATTTCATTCAAAAAACCAAATACTCTATACAACCGATAGCAGTCGCAGCGTAACGTGCGCGCACATTATTTCTTAATATAGGAAACAAAGAAAAAAGAATTTTGATGTGAAGCCACAACGTAAATTTAGTCGTTTGACAAGCGAATATCATAAAATGTTTTTGGGTATTTTACCATATTGAGAATTGGAATTGTTCAATGATTGAGCCATTTCACAACAACATCGGTCGTGTATAAAATTTGAGGAAATTCGGTTGCAGTTCAACGTGTGAGGTTGATGACATTTTGTTCGTAAGCAACAAATTCAAATGGCTACAGAACTATATAATTATTTTTAAGAGCTGGAACGAATTTATTAATTTTCTAACATAACTATGACTTTTTCTTCATATATAAAATGATTATGAAATCATTCCGAAAAATGACGTACAGAAGCCACAAAAACATTCACATTCAATGTTGTAAGACACAAAATTGATCGGTTCATATGAAAAATGTCTGTGCGTTTGAAATGACGTGCGAAAAAACTATAAATCGTCCCCTCAACCATATTTGAAATGTACCGATCTCACGAATTTTCTGCATTGTCGCTTTCGACTCTTGAGCCATGCGGCAACCACTTCGAAGAGAATGAAAAAAACAACAACTGAATGTGCATAAACACGAAAAGTGCGTCATAAAAAATCCTATAAAATGGAATACATAGTGTGCGTTCGGGAGTTTGCCATCTGTTTTGTTTTTATTTAATAAATGCATTTTTATTCATTTGAATCTTACAAGACACTTTGTATGCGGCTTGTCATTCCCCCTTGATTATTTGTCTGGATCATGCGGTGCTATTTTTTTATAGAAACCAAAAGACTCATAAAATTTTATAGCATAAGTGTTTTTCATTAGCATGCGTTGGAGTTGTGTATCAAATTCCCCCCTCAAGTTGTCAAAATAAGTCAATTGGAGAGAGAAAAACGAACTATTTTTTTTCGCTTTTTTAACTATTCCAAAGTGTGGTTTGGCTTTTTTTTCGCTTCAACATAAAATTTCCTTTGAACAGGCAATATATTCAGCTGTCGTCATCTGGATATTACAGCTCATCTGGATATCGTCAGCAGATGATACAAAGTGAAAACAATAGAAGTGATTGTTATAGGTATATAAGCTTGTTATATACTGGTATTACTATTACAATCACTTCTATTGTTTTCACTTCGCATCATCTGCTGACGGCATCCAGATGAGCTGAAATATCTAGATGACGGCAGCTAAATATATTGTCTGCCTTTGAACGAATCTTTAACACGAAACCTGATCGAAAATAGAGAAATGTTTTGATTATATCTCAAGACAGAAAAAAAAATATCCACAGAAATGAATTGAATATTTTTTCAAAGAAATAATGGCACTGCTTGATAGGATTGATAACAACTTTGGAAATATAAATCAAAAACTAGCGTCCAAACTATCACTTCCGAGTCTCTTTCTCTCTTGAGGTGTTTGTGTGCTGTGTGTGATTGTGATGTGGGACGTAAAACGCGACTTGAGGCTCTAGTTTCATTTGAAAAGATTTGACTCACCATTTAAAATGATATAGCTCTGAAAACGATTTTCATTTTCTTTTCAAATGAAATAATCGTCGCCAGTTGTATTTTGGTTCAATGAAGTAGCTGAATAAAATAAAAAACACCATCAAAATGGACAAAAATGTCGATTTAAGCACAACACACATTTTGATTTTGTGGTTGATTTCGAACACATGGCCGACAAAATGAAAATAATATAAAATCCATTGATTGTTATGCAAACAGAGAGAATACACACACACACAAATGATACATCCAATCATGTGCGCATTGTCATTATTATTAGTGTGTTTTAGGTAATAATAATCGGATTGCGCGATCGCGCCAACCAGCAATTAGCTACTCGATTATAGTGTAATATGTTGTTATGCTTTTTGTGTGTGTGTTCTCTTTCGACTGGGTTGTGTATATACATTTCAAATTTCATATTTCCAGTTCATTGGATGCGCGAGGTATGCGCGCGCATGTTCATGACTTCATCGGGATTTTTCTTCCTGTATTATTTTTTTGTAATTCGCTTTAGCACTACGCTGATTGCCAATCATATTTCAAATTGGTATTGTGGTATTTTCTTCTCTCTTAATCGAATTGAAAGAGAATCGCTATAGAAAAGGAACTGGTTTTTCACATTACTTTTCATTTGAACCATAGAATTTTCGTTTCGTGCAAAATCGTGATCGTTTTCTTCTTCTTCTTTTTCGTCTCTCAATCTCTAGCGTTAATTCCGCAAAAAACCTACACATCGAAAGATGAATACATGTTGTAAAGCAAATAATGTACACAATCTATTAGAAGATAGGCTATCTGTATGGATGAATCATCCGCAACCATATAAAAAGCGACGAGTACAAAGTTATGTACAAAATCAACAATGTTCTAGTCTCTATGTTTGTCGTGAGATGTTTGTCATCATTGAGTAATGCAATGTGCGGTGCGATGTTGCATGCACTCGGCAAATTTCTGTGGTCATGTGAATTGCTGATTTTGATCTCATTGATCAAAGTACAAGAATTATTATAAGGCACATTCTATATTTAGTGTTTCCACACTGACAGTGAGTGAGTTGTTTGTCCGCGTATTCGTGTGCGCGGTTAGATGCTTTCCGTCACATGTAACTTATACATTACATCGGTTGGGTTGTCTCGTCAATCGATGTGCGTGCACTTCTCTTGAAAGAGAAAAGAACATCATCACATATCGAATGGGAAATTAAATTGAAAAAAGAAAAAAAAATCAAAACAGAAGAGAAATATGTGCTTGAGGTTGGCAAACGCGCGCGCGCAATATTGCCGTTGAGAATGAAGCGTAAATGTGTGCAATTTATAGGCTGATACTTCCAATGCCTAAATATGGATTCAACGCCGATGAAAATGAATTGTCTACGTGCTGCCAATTTTATGAAGAGAATTGACACGTACAAGCGCGAGACTTTTATCTGCGCATCTACAACGATACACACTGAATGATAACAGTTATCTACTAAACTCGATTTTATAACGGTTTCATTGAACAAGACTGGAATTATCTGATAAAAAGGCAGGTAGTAGCAAGTATACGATGCATTTGGTCTGAATAAACTTCAAAAAATTATTTATTTCATTTAATAATTCACATTTCAATTCCATATTGTTTGGTCAATTTTTCTTAATTAATTTTTCGCATTTCCTTGAAATATTGCTTGCGTAACAGTCAAAATGAATGCTTGAGCTTCTCTCGCTGCCACTTCGATTTGATTCGATGGCAAAAGAAATCCATATCGACCTTTGTCACGCAATTCAATTGTGTAAGCATACTCGATTCCAAGACTTCTGGCCCAACTTTCCGACGATCCGGGAGACAAATAAAGTGTATCATCTGTTTCTACCGTGTGCACTTGCTTATTAACCAATTGCATTTGCTGTCGCAACAAAAAAACGAAAAGATTAAAAAAATCGAATTCTATTTTGTGTTAAATGTGAATGGGTACCTTTACACCTTTTAGGACAACTTGCACCAAATCTCTACGATCAATTTCATTAAAATCAGTATTAATTGGATACAAAACACACTGGCCAAAACTGTGAAATGTGAGAAAAGCTCTGAATAATTCATTCGTTTTTTCAAAAAAATTCCGAACCGCTTCTGTCTCAGGCTCGGAGAAAGCACAAGTGCCGCCATACTCATCATCGCAAGGGTCTCCTATGAAACCAGTTTTACCCCAGTCAAATCCATAATTTCGATTTAAATCGACTCCAGCACATCTAATAAATCCATTTGGATTTCGATTTTTGCGCCACAATCGGTTGCCAATTTGACGTGAATATTCATAACCTGCAATGAATAGCTTCGAGTAATTTACAAACGTTTTTCAACTTATTTACAAACCATCTGGATTGTGAACGGCCAAAATATACCAATTTATATTTTTAACGTGTGCAGGCTGCTTACTCCAGTTCTGGACAAAATTGTTTACAATATAAGTGACCGCTGCCGGACTAATCCATTCACGTGCATGTATGCCACCATCAATCCAAATTGCTTTGTTTCTCGGATTACCATTCGAAATTCTGAAATAAATAAATCAAGTTATATAGTTTTCAAACGAAAAAAGTGGATCTTTTCTCAGTTGTTACTTCAAAACTATAAGTGATCGATTTTCGTGTGATGTTCCAATGTATTGAAGTGTACACAATTTAGAATATTTGTTCGCTAAGTACTTTAAAAATGATACGATATCATTGAAACTGTGATAAGCTTGCCATGTCAAACTATGACCTGAAAGCAGCATGGAATCATTAAAATTGAAAAGTTTAACACTAATGCAGACCGTGTCTATTTACCATTTCGTTTTTGATGTTGTTCAATTTCCTTTTGAGGGGGATTTTCTTGAAGCCATTGATGTAAATGTTGCTCTGCTGTATCGATCATTTCAAAGCGGTCTATTCCACGCGGGAGTATCATGCCTAAATTACAATTCATTCAATAATTTAAAAATTTCTTTAGAATATGATTGAAGCAAACTACTTCAGAATGAAAGGGTCATCTTACCTTTGGATTCAGCCAAGTTATATAAAGTGAATCCATCTGGATATGTTTCGTAGACATTGGCTCCATTGACAATGAGCCATGAAGCTAACTCCTTTTGACCTGTGAACGTTTCAACAAATTATATTGACGATTTTCTAAAAAAAAATCATTCCATGTAGTAAAATACCAGTCATAATTGCTTCATAAAGGGCTGTTTTCCCATTACTTTTTATATTAACATTAACACCATTCGCGATGCATCGTAAAGCGAATTGGATATCACCTAATCGAAATAAATCCTTTCAACTCATATTTCATATCAAACTATTGATACTACCTTTTTTAACTGCATCAATGAAATGTGTTCCTTTATTTAAAAAAAATGGAGAAAGTTGGCTATTTTGAATCTTATTCAAATCTAAATATATCAACTTATTTAAATACATGTTAACCTTTCATTTTCATTTGTGTTATAGTTGGTTTGAGTCGATCTAAAAAAGTAAAACATTTTTATATATAAATTGGCAAAATTCCCACACTTTCATTTAGTTATCTAATAAAACTTTAAGTTAAAAAGTGCGTATTCAATCATGCATGTTGACACATACCTTTGATAGTGCACAAATCAAGTGGGACTACGTTCATTAAGTTCACTTCACTGATGTCAGCACCTTTCTGTAGAAGTAATTTTATTACGTCGAAATGATCTGTAAATATAATGAAATTCACATTTTTTTCTTTCTCATCAATATCTTTCTGTCATTTCAAATATCAATAAAGTATAACCCGCTATTAAAAATATTTACAATTTTTCTTCAAAATTGTTTTTGCCATCGAAAAAATTGTTTATATGTGATAATTACCGTGGCTACAGGCAATGTGAAGTGGTGTATTTAGCAAAAAATCTTTCGCATTGATCTTTGCTCCAACTTCAATTAGTATTTTAGCAGTCTCTTCATGACCTGCATGAATTATTAAGAAATTTAAGCTAAAAACGTGAACGAAGATTCACAATATGCTTTCTCTCATATGCTACCATTTTCTGCGGCCCAATGGAGCGCAGTCATGCCAAGATTATCGTGGGCATCAACATGTGCACCCTTGGCAATGAGCTGTTGCACAGCCGCTGTATTGCCTATATCAAAAAAAACCAATTTCTTTCCTTTATCGTCTCTTTTTTATTTCATCGAGTACAACAATTACCAATGCTGCTTGCAACAATCAACTCCTGGTCTGAACAAGACAAAATAAGAGGAAATTAAAATGCAAAATAGTACTAATGCGTTCGCTTAATCTTTTAGTCATTTTAATGTTTTCAGTATTTTCATGAGCTTATTAAATACCTTCACGTGATATCATAGTTACCCATTGTGGTGCCTGATTTTACAAGAATCAATGGAAGCAGTCAGTTTCTAAAGTAGCTTCTTTATTTTTGTAGCTTCAAAGAATTATATTCGTATTTTTTAGGTGAAAAAATACTCACGGTAAAGAGAAGCACCGAAAATGCATACAATAACATCATTTTAAATGATGAAGATAAAAACAGTTTATTCTTTTCGTAGAACGAGCACTATATACAACGTTATTCTTTCAATCAACTGTTTTTATGTGAGTTGTTTTCGCGTATAAGACACATATATGCCAAAACGAGATCTTAGCATTTTTTTGTTAGAAAAACCCGAAATACAGTCAAGAGAATTATAAAATTCTTCAAAATATCTGCTTATTGAAGATAATGGAATACTGACGTATGTTACAAACAATACGCAGTTGGTATTCTATCTGAATGTATTTAATAATATGACATTGTTAATTAACATTTTAGAAGATTACAAAGCCATTGGAATTTATTGACAGTTTTACTTCGATATAATTTTTCTGAGTTCATCAAGTCAGTTTAAATTTTCCTTTTTTCGTATCGTTGAAAATTGCTTTCGATACAGTTAAAATGAATGGTTTGATTGAAATTTGATTGAAAGGTAAAAGAAAACCATAACGACCACTGTCACGCAATTCAATCAAGTATGTGTATTTAATTCTAATACTTTGCGCCCAATCTTCCGATGAACCAAGTGTTAAATCTTCAATTGCCTTCTCCGTTACAATCTCATTGATTGAAAACGTTTGATTATTAACTTTTTTCATATTCTGTAATTTAAAAAAAATCAAACTATTGAAATATCATATGAAATTTGATAATAGATGTTACCTTCACACCATCTTGAGCAACGCGTTTCAAATCCAAACGATGTGATTCTGTTATATTCTTATTTGAGTCTGAAACGAACTGGCCAAAGCTATTAGAAATGCGCAAATTTTTCGGTCGATTTGATGAAAAATTTTCGAACTGCTTGTGTTTCAGGCTCGGAAAAGGCATGCATTCCTCCATAATCCTCTTCACACTTATCATTTTCGAATCCATCAGCATCCCATTTATATCCGTGATTGCGATTCAAATCCACTCCAACACAGTCACTATCTAGTTTATTATTTCGATTCTTTCGCCAAAATCGATTGCCATTTTGGTGTGAGAATTCATAGCCTACAATAAATTAACTATGATCAATATATTGTACGTTTACGACCATGTGGACGTCAAACCATCTGTATTATGAACGGCCAGAATGTGCCAATTCAAGTTCTGGATATGCGCAGGCTGCTTACTCCAATTCTTCACCAAGTCATTTGCAATGTACTGTAATCCATTCGCGTGCATGTATACCACCATCAATACAAATTGCTTTGTTCCCCGGTTTTCCTTTCAAAATTCTATCGAAAAAATGTCCAAATATTCTCAGAATTCCAAATAAATTCAATTAACTTTTCTCTTATTGATACCTTAAAACCACAATGGGTGATCCACCATGTGATTTTCCAATGACCAAAAGTTTACACAAATTACCATGTTTTTTAACTAAATATTCGATAAATGAGTAGATTTCAAGAGGCCGATGATATGCTTTTCATGACAATTCATGACCTAAAATATGGAAGCAACTATATCTTCTGAGAAAAGCGCATCGGAACTAGTTTCGTTTACCATTCACTTTTGCATTGCTGCAATTTGTTGTTGTGGTGTATCTTTTGTCAGCCATATACTATACCTTTGGCAATTAGCTTCGTTACAGTTGTTGCATTACCTAAATTCAAATAAAATTAAAGATATTGCTGGGGAATATTGATGACACATTTCTTGATTTCTTGCATTACCGAGCTTGGATGCCGTAATAAGCTCTTGATCTGTGGTGAAAGATAAAACAGCACATAAGTTACAAACGAGTCTACTTAAAATAATAGTTCTAGTCTCTCATTCTCAATTCTTTGAATTTGTTCCTCCTGCTAGTGGTACACTTTTCTCCACGAAGGTGGACTTTTCTAGGATGAAAACTGTTTGTATTACCTTCATGTGTAAGAACACATTCGCACTGGGATGTCTAATTTTCGATGAGAATAAATAGAATCAGATGATTTGGAGCCCGCGTATTATGAAGTAACAAAAAAAGTAAAATACTTACAAAATGATTGCCGACTGTAAACACTACGAACAAACAACAAAACAGCATCATTTTAAGTGAAAATGAAATACGATACTTAAGATAAACTGCTCATTCACAATGTACATACGTTTTATATAATTGTTTTTATTTTTTGGTATTTACAGAACGTCTTTTCTTACAAATAATTGGTCTTGAAACGTCAACAACACCTTGTATTCTGTAAAATGTGTTCGAGACAAAAACAGGTGAGTGAACTTGTTTCAATTTTTTTATTCGTACATTTTTTTCCAAAGTCCAATGCCAGAACGTATGATGGCAATATTTCATTTAAACAGTTCTATAAAATTTCGAGCTACATTAGTTTTACTACTACTATAATTTTTTCAATTTCCTCTTCTGCACATCTTCAAAAATCGCTTGCGAAACAGTTCGAACAAATGCTTGTGACTCATTTGCTGTTGGTATAATGTTATAAAAAGGCAAAAGAAATCCATATCGACCCTTGTCGCGCAATTCAATTGCGTACGTGTACTTAATTCCAATACTCGAGGTTCATTGAACCGAAGTACCTGGACTTGAATAAGCTTTCGTTGCATCCATTCCAATGGTATATGTTTCCCTGATTTTCATCAAAATTGGATTTACTTCATCTATAAAAATGAAATACATTCTCAATGAAAATACATGTTGCCATGGCCTGGAAATGCCTATGTAATTTACATATAAACGAGTGAGACTCAAACATGTTCTTCTTTTTCCATCAAATATACCAGTGGCGCTACCAATTTTACATATAAGCGCATACAAAATTTTCAATATGGCTGCGCCCATGAGAGAGAAAATTTCGTCTCATTCATTTCCGCCCCATGCATGTTGCATTAATAAGGTGAGACTCTGTGCGATGCAAACCTTTGATGCTAGACAGTTTAAGTGGCAGCTCATCTGCCAAATTCATTTCAGTAAAATTAGCACCGTTTTCTAGGAGCATTTTCATCACCTTAAAATCATCTGAAATATTAATTTGTTTCCTTTAGAAGCTGAGCAATTACTTATAAAAACCTTTTTGTGTATGTATCACAAATAGAAATTACCGCGACTACTAGCAATGTGCGGGTGTGTTGTGAAAAAAATCTTTTGCATTAACGTTGGCTCTATTTTCGATTAACACTTTGGCGGCTTCATATTGACCTGAATATACGTAACAAAAGATTATTGTCACTTAACGTCATTCACACTCATATAAACTACCATTTTATGTTGCCCAATGAATCGTTGACATTCCTTGGCTATCATGTTCGCTAATATTTGCACCTTTTGCAATCAATTTTTTTAGACTAGTTGTATTACCTAAAGAAACAGAAGTATAAACATGTGGCACATTTTAAAATAAATCCATTGATTTGAAATTTACCATTTCTACCTGCATCAATATGTTCTGGATCTGAACAAAAATAAGCAAAATATTTAAATACACTAAATAAAAATTATTTAAAATTGATCCAATTACATTGTACGGAAGAGCAATCGTCTACAAAATTTTCTACAATTGAAAGAAAAACGAAAACTGCATAGAATAACTTCATTTTCAATGGAAATAAACGTAAATGTAAAAGATCAAAATATACTTTTCAAGCGTATCTTCACCGATGAAACCATTACATGAGACTCATTATTTTCATTATATCATTCTTGGAGATTAAATAATTAATGAAAGTATAATGAGTCTATTTTTTCAAATAATTTTGTCTTATTCTTTTATCTTCTTTATTTCAATAAATTTACTTTTTGTGAAATTCATTCACACTGAAAGCGATCATTTACACATGTAGTTAAAAAATGAATAGATATTTTTAAGCAAGTCCATTATTGCGTGATGTGACGTAAGATCTAAGGTCTGTGAACTACACGTCATAAAGGATTATGCTGAATTTCCTATGTAAAATAATTGGTTGTTTTGACTTTTAACCGACTGATAATTACCAGAACTTTTTCATTGCAACGGATGAATGTGTCTCTGATAAAAATATTATTTATTTCATGCTTTTTCACATGCACATAGTCAAATGATTATTAAGCGCATCTCGAGAGTTGGAAACGTATTTTTCCATTTTTCACATTTTCAAAGATTGTCTGTGACACAGTCCGAACAAATGTTTGAGACTCTTTAGCAGTTGGTTTAATTTGATTGACAGGCAAAAGAAAACCGTAACGACCTTTGTAAGTCAACCGTGTCTCGCCCAATCATCTGAACAACCAGAACCTGAAGTATACAGATTCATTGTGTTTCCTATCGTGTAGATTTGATTGTTCGCCTTGGTTCGCCTCTCTCATTTGTTATGTCGTTTGCAAAAGAAAGATGATTATTAAAAATTGAATGTGACAGAAAGTTTTCTGAATATACTTTCATACATGTTTTAGCAACACTTTCTAAGTAACTACAATTCCGATGGTTTATATCTATCTGTTAAATACAAAATGAATTGGTCGTAGTTATGAATGCATAAAAAGCTTCCATAGTTTAAAAAAAGAGTCAAACTGCCTCTGTTTCAGGTCCAAAGAAGGCATGTGTTCCAATTCGTTACACGAATCATTCACCGAACTAGTTCCACCTCAATTATACCTATGATTCGAATCAAACCCAATGAAGCCAGAAGCTAACACAAGATATCAAACAATGAATAAGAGGATATCATTTTCGATCGCGATCGATAAATAATACAATTGAAATTTTTCGAATTTTTTTATTTCTTTATTTGCATTGATGTAAATATGACTGACGTATATAAAAAAAAATACTAGTACTATTTGATTAAAATCCATGCTTTTCTTGCAGTCGGGTTATGGTTTATTCGCTATAATCTTTCTTTAATTCATTTAATTGAACATCTTCAAATATTGCCTTCGATATGGTGCGAACAAATGCTTGCGCTTCTTTGGCCGTTGGTTCGATTTGACTGGCAGGTAAAAGAAAACCATATCGACCTCTGTCGCGCAATTCGATGGTGTAAGAGTATTTGATTCCAATACTTGCGGCCCATTCTTCCGAAGAACCAGAAACTGCTATTTGTGAAAAATCACATCCCATTGTGTAGGTTTGATTATTAATCGCTTTCATGTGCTAAATGTAAAAAAAATTAACATTAAGAAAATGATATGAAATACGAATAAATAAAGTATGATTATTACTTGTACGGCCTCTTGACCAATACTGCACAAAGACTCAAAATGAGCTAGTGACATGTTTTCATCAGTCGGATACAAAATATATTGTCCGAAGCTGTGGAAGGTGAGGAATGCATAAAAATCTTCTTTGGTTGTGTTGAAAAATCTGCGAACTGCTTCAGATTCTGGTTCGGAAAAAGCTTTTTTTCCACAATAATCTTCTTCGCATGGATCCTTTTCTCCACCCCACTTATGTCCATCGTAGTTTCGGTTTAAATCTACTCCTGCACATCCACTGCATTCATTTGGGTTGCGATTCTTACGCCAAAATCGATTGCCATTTTGGTGTGAAAATTCATAACCATCTGGATTATGAACGGCCAAAATGTGCCAATTCAAGTTTTGAATATGGTCAGGCTGCTTGTTCCAATTCCTCACCAAATCATTTGCAATGTACGTTACGGCCGCTGGACTAATCCATTCACGCGCATGTATGCCACCATCAATCCAAATTGCTTTGTTCATAGGATTTCCATTCGAAATTCTACCAAAGAGAATAAAATAAGTGGTATTTTACATATTTTTGCCTATTCCTTTAACATTTGATACCTCAAAACTTTGAGTGGTCGTCCTTCATGTGTTGTTCCAATGGTTGACAGTTTACACAGGCTGCCATGTTTTTCCGTCAAATATTTTAAAAATGAATAGATATCCTCAAGACGATGATAAGCTTTCCACGTTAATGCATGACCTAAAATACGAATTTTTATAATTAATAACATCACAATGAGTGATTTCGATGGATTCAGACCCAATTAACTCCCGATTTTTACCATTTTGCTTTTGTAGTTTTTCAATTTCTTTTTGTGGCGGATTTTCTTGAAGCCACTCGTGAATCTTTTTTTCTGCCTCCCGTAAAACTAACGCTCTGTCCGTCTCAATGCCGTCAGGCACTTCTATGCCTGATAAAGTTACATTTCATTTTTAAACCTCAACTCATGCATCAGCGCTAGTCACAAAAATGTCATATAATACCTTTGGCTGCAGCCTTTTCACGTAGACTCTGTCCAAATGGAAATTTATATTCTTTGACTCCCTTTTTAATGAGCCATTCAACAAGCTCTCTTTTATCTATTGGAATATTTTCACACTTTTTTAGTATTTTTTTTTTGTGTTTTGACATCGAAATATATCAATAAAATACCACTTCTGAGTGCCTCGCTGATGGGACTGATCCCAGTATATCTGATATTAATATTCACTCGTTGATCGATAAATTGTTGAGCCAACTCAATATTACCTAAGCGAATATATAGAAACTATATTGGAACATTACAATAAGTAGATGCTACCTTTTTTTACTGCATCAATAAAGTCTCTTCCTAAAAAAATGAATTCAACACATTAATATTTTATTAGATTATATTTATTTTATCAAAATTATCACCCTTTTTTCTCATTTTAATTAAAATTGGTTTGAATTCATCTGAAAGATACATAAACATTATCAAAGATTTTAAAATAAAACACAATTTGTTTTAAGTATATTGCACCTTTATGACTTTGCCAATTTAATTTCAAGAATTCTATTCAAATAAATAACAATAATTGAAACAATGGTTCGGATGCATTTGTCGAAATGCAATATACTTAAAACAAATTGTGTTTTATTTTAAAATCTTTGATATTTGATGGACTTTGCGGATAAAGAAGTTTTGTCGTTTTTTAAAAACAAATTTAAAGTACATAAACATTATCAATCATATAAATACTTTTTGGAAAAAACAAACACACCCTTGATCGTACTCAAACTAATTGGAGTATGTTTTGCTAAATTAACTGCAGTAAAGTCGGCACCATTTTCTAAAAGCAGCTTTATCATTTTTAGATGGTCTGACAAATTTAAAAAAAAACAACTTATTTCCAATATTCTTTTACAAGGTTCAAATGTGTAGAGTCTATCACATTCGACATATGTATACAATAAAAGAAATTTACTTTTTCTTCGGTCAAAACGTTAAATTAATTTCAACCACTTACTATGACTGCATGCGATGTGAAGGGGTGTATTGAAGAAGAAATCTTGGGCATCGATACGTGCACCTCTGTCAATTAACACTTTTGCAGCTTCATGGTGGCCTGAACCATTGATTTTATAAAATATTATTGTTACGTAAGATGTTTTTATTTTTGAGCACCTCACCATATTCAGCAGCCCAATGAATCGCTGTCATTCCGTGATTATCAGACGCACTAATATTTGCACCTGTAGCAATAAGACGTGGAATAGCCGATGCATTATCTAAATTAAAACATAAATCAGAAACAAAGTCAATCGAAAATAATTTATTTCTAAAATATAAAGGCTACCAGTGATTGCTGCGATAATTAGCTCTTGATCTGCACGAAAAAATGAATGAAATAAAACTTGAACATAAATATTTTGATTTTTCAAACAATGAAGCATGTGCAATTGTGCTATGAACGAAAAAAAGCAAATCTTTGATATTTTCCATATTTTCTGATTTTTGCAAGAATGTGTAGCTGTGTTATTTCAAACACCAATACATTTGCATGATTTTCAATTCATTCTTTTTTATACACAGAAAATGAATTCATTGAATGTTTCAAAATGACTTCAGAGGATTATCATTTTCATTAAATCCCTGGATATGACGGGAAAACGTCTGCAGCGTTGCTATTTTATCTGTAGCGTTTGCCAGAGAAACTATCAAACCTAGCATGCTTATTTTTATGGATCTTATTACCTTTATGTGAGAGAACACATTCACAATAAAGTACCTAATTCAAAAAAAGCATTGAAATTAATTAGTTTGAATAAAATTATATAAAATTCACCTACAAAATTGTTGCAGAAGAAAATTATATGAAAAATCCCGTAAAGCAATTTCATTTTAAATTTCAAAAAATCTTCTTTCTGTCTTATCACTGAAGGCGAGATACTAATTCTTCTGCTCGTGAACTGGTTGTGTTTTTATAGTTCTTGAGCTAGAAGCTACGTCTTTGTCAATAATAATTAATGAAGATTTCGCATTTTTTGAATATTTGCACGTTTTTCTTATCTTTATTGACGCAAAATGTTTTTCAAAATTTTTGTTGTTTATTTTCACATATATTTGAGAAAAGCTGTTCATATAAGTTGTTCATTGACTTTCAATGATGTACACAGACATAGTAAAGTTTGTGCGCTACCATTATACATATTTTTTTGATACTGATGAATATGAGTATTTACACAAAAAGTATTTCAATTGGCAGACGATGAGTTGAAGAATACTATTTGACGTGCGTCGATTGTACGTCATACAAGATATAGCTAACACGTGCAATGAATGCTACAATAACAATAAGTCTGTTTGCGTTTCCAAAGGCCTCACATTAGAATATATTGTTACTTGATATTTTATACATTTGAATGAAAAAAAAAACTTTTTTTTAACAGAGAATAAGAAATATTTCGAGTAAAAATGAGCTCAATTAATTGAAATCCTAATATAAAAAGCATTGAAGAAAGTGTAATTCTAGAAGAAAAATACAATTATATCCTTTTGTTTTTCACATCTTCAGAAATTGCTTGTGAAACAGTCTGAACAAATGCTTGCGCTTTCTTGGGCTGTAGGTACGATTTGGTTGGCGGGCAAAAGAAATCCATAACGACCTTTGTCACGCAATTCAACGGTTTAAGCATACTTAATTCCAATACTTAGTGCCCACTCATCGGAACAACCAGAACCTGCATGAAACGATGGCATTTCCGTTTCTAGGATATAGCTTTGATTATGCATTTCTTTGATTTTCTACATGTTATTGTGAAAATAAATCAGAACGAGTTTATTTAGAAAACGTTTACCAAATGCAAACATTTATCGTTACCTGAATGCTAGGGGCAAATGACTACTTATAAGTTCGACGAAACCTATAGAATTGTACGAAAAACTTAGACGAACTTATGAAATCGCACGCTACTTATGAGAATTTATACGAACTTACGCTTTGTCCATATAAATTAACACACTGCTGTAAGTTCGATATGCGTCAACATGCCGAAACAGTCGCACATGTAGTAGTCAAATGACACAACGCTGGTCAACTTTTTTTAATTACATCTCACGCTGCAAATAATTTGTACAAAAAAGTAGAACGTATTTTAAAATAAAAGTCATCAATCCAATTAGTAAATTGGATATCATCCTTAAAAGACCTGATTTTGATATTGAAGCATCGCTCTCAACACTCATACTTATTACTGATTATTCACTATCATAACCGACTCTTTCAAAAATGACGTCTAATTAGACGAATTCATATTTCTTGTTATTTTTTCACTGAAAACCTGCTCGACTTATTTATACAAATTATTTTCTATCTGATTCAACATAACTAACATTTATTACCAATTACAATATTCTGCGATGTTCAATTGACGTTGAAAAACTTACTAGTAATCTATAGGAACTCACGTAAAACTTGGACGAACCAACAAAAATGTATATAGAACTCAAGAGAACTTATGCGAACTAGTGAAACTTACAGATACTTATAAACTTACAACGAGTCATTTTCCCCTAGCCTGAATGGCTTCTTTACCGACACGGACCAAGTTATCAATGTGCGATTGTGACATGTTGGAATCACATGGAAATAAAATATATTTACCAAAACTGTGGAAGGTGAGGAATGCACAAAAATGTTCTTTGGTTTTATTGAAGAAGCAACAAACTGCTTCAGTTTCGGGTTCGGAAAAGGGATGTGTTCCACAATATTGTTCTTCATTTGGATTATTTTCGCAACCCTCTTGGCTCCATTTATATCCGTAATTGCGATTCAAATCCACCCCAATCGAAATTTGGCGCGGATTTTGAAGATTAACTGTGGAACAAGTTTTAACTAGAAATGTTTTATCATATTATACCTCTCAATTCGGCCATTTTATGCAGATTTGGTCCTTCTGGAGATGTTTCACTAACATAAGCACCATTATTGGCAAGCCATTTAGCAAACTCCTTTTGGCCTGCACAAAATGTTCGAGTTTTGATATTTTTAATATTATTTGGAAAATTGTTAATATTTATATGACTCATGAGAATGTATACCATTATTAATAGCCTCATAGCTGTTTTGCCTTTATCATACTTTATGTTAATGTTTACTCCCTGAGCAATGAGCTGTTTCGCCAATTTGATGTTACCTAAAACATTGATTGGAAACGCTGCAGTTCAGTGTTTAATTGAGTCGAAGGGCAATCGCACTTTGAACACTGCAGTTGTGCTGCTCTCTGACATTTATAAGTTCAACCCTATGTAAAGACATTGCTTTCCTCTTCTTCTTCATTTACAAGAAGCATGTGCGTTATAGCAGCTTAACTTTGAGATACCAGGTGGCAGCACATCTGCGTGTTCGAAACCCAATACATTGCTTTAAATGGAGTGCGAGCAGAGCGTGAATTGAGTAGGGCGGCGCCACCGTCTAAACATACAAATTTCCATTTAAATCAGCGCCATCTACGCCAAAACATACTTTCGGTTGAAAATAAAACGCCATCATATTCCGACATTGACCTAAAAGAAAGAGTAGAACACAAGAATTCTAACTGATTTTATTCAATAAGCGCCACTACTTCATCAAGTGATTTTTACCATTTCTTATTGCTTTTAGAAGCTCTCTACCTATAATTATAAAATCACAAAATGTTATTAGACTGAAATTATGAAAATGTCAAAGATTTCAAACTCGTCAGGTGCAAAATTTCGCCACAAAATAGTTACCTTTCATCTTTATTTTTCCCAATGTTCGACTAATGCTATCTGAAAAAGAAATAAATTTTGAAAGTTCCTACTTTCCATTTGCCCCACTGTCACTTAGAACTTTAGCTGCTATATCGAACACTAAATCGGAAAATAAATGATTTTCAAGGGTTTAATTTAAATTTAATCTTAGTAAATTACCATTTTGAGCGGCAAAGTGTGTGTCATACCATGATTCTCATGAACATTAAAACAAATGTTCAAATAAATTGATGGCAAATTTGTTGCGAGGTCATTGAATTACAAGTACTCGCCGCGTTTAAAAGCTCTTAATTTGCATCAGATAAATATATTTCAAAAATGTTAAAATTTAAATTACGAATATTCTAACATTCATATTTCACCAGAGATCAATACTATTGCATTGACATTGGCCACGTATTGTTCGTGTTAAATATCTTCAAGAAAATTGAATTAATTACCTTGACGTGAAATAACATCTGCCAAAATTTAATCTGCCAACGTATTTATATCAACAATTTGCAAAAATTCTCCCTTTTTCTCGCGAATGTCTTTCATTTCGCTTATATACATGCGTTCATCGTGCGAACCATCTGGTGGCCGCAAGAGCAAAAAAACTCATGCAAACACGTTGTATTTCTTTAAAAAATATTTCTAATCTCCATCCAAACCAATCTAATTTTCATAAAAAAATTGAATATGAATATTTGTACAGATGGTCAATATCAGTTTATACAATAGTTATCATGACAAGCAAGTATGTGAAGCCATGAGTATCTACGACTGTCCGGCCAAGCCTTAGATCAGTATAATGCAATTAAAAAGTCAAACATGTATAAGAGATAAAATTACATTTTTATTCCAATCAAAACTCTTGGAAAAAAAGTATTTTTTTACACATGAATCGAAACGATGTGTGAGTTGTGAATTTATATTTCGGACTTAAACTATAAAATCATGTTTTGTACGTCTTCAGATATTGCCTTCGATATGGTTTTAATAAATGCTTGCGCTTCCTGAGCGGTGGGTACGATTTGATTGGCGGGCAAAAGAAATCCATAACGACCTTTGTCACGCAATTCAACGGTATAAGCATACTTAATTCCAATACTTCGCGCCCACTCATCGGAACAACCCGTCGCTGGCTTTGGTTCTTTATCTACAATATATTTCTGATTGCCGGCTGCATTCATTTCCTTTATTTAAATTAAAACCGATTAAAACAACGAAATGTTTATAAATATTTGTCTTTACCTGAACTCCTTCTTCGCCAACACGGCTTATGGCTTCTACATGCAATATTGACATTCTTCCATCATTTGGATGTACAATGTATCTACCAAAACTATGGAAAGTGAGAAATCCACAAAATGCTTCATCGGTTTCGTTAAAAAAACGCTGAACTGCTTCTGTTTCCGGCTCAGAGAAGGCATTCGCTCCACGATATAAATCACTGCATGGATCAGCTTCCTTTATGCCATATTTACCAAAATGATATCCATAATTTCGATTCAAGTCAACTCCTGAACATCTGCTCGATACATTTGGGCGGCGATTCTTTCGCCAAAATCGATTTCCATTTTGATGTGAAAATTCATAGCCTGCAATGGATAAATTTGATGGCGATTAAAGAATTCCAAATATAAAAATTCACAAACCATCTGGATTGTGAACGGCCAAAATATGCCAATTTATATTTTGAACATGTGCAGGCTGTTTTTTCCAATTCTCCACCAAATCATTCGCAATGTACGTTACGGCTGCTGGACTAATCCATTCTCGCGCATGTATACCACCATCAATCCAAATTGCTTTGTTACCCGGTTTGTCGCTCGAAATTCTAGATGGAAAAATATTAAAACCGTTTTGGCCAATAGTTCGATACATTCGTCAAAACACAATTGCTACCTCAGCACGACAAGTGATCGTTTCTCGTGCGTTTCTCCAATCGTTATAAGCTTACACAATTTGGGATATTTTTTAGCCAAATGCTTTAAAAATGCGTGAATATCGTCCAAACGATGATATGCTTGCCAAGTTAAGGCGTGACCTAAAATGCAAACAATAATTACCGACTCCTTTTGGAGCAAAACAGATGCACAAATTCACCATTTTGTCTTTGTTGTTTTTCAATTTCCTTCGGTGTGGGATTTTCTTGAAGCCATTCATGAACTCGCTTTTCTTCTGTTCTTATTTTTGATCTCTGATCGTAAATAGCTGGCGGAAGCTTAATACCTAAACAACAAAGATGTTTGGTTTTTTTGAGTAATTGATTTGCAAGTCTAATTGTAATCTGAATTATTCGATATCCCATTCAATAAAATGTCATTTGTTACCTTTCAAATTTGCATATTCACGTAAAGCAATCCCACTTGGAGTTATTTCCGAAACTTCGGCTCCACTGAGAACGAGCAATGAAGCGAAGATATCTTGACCTACGAGTGCATAAAAATTCATGTTATTAACATGAACATGTGAACTTATTAATGTTCGATCACTACCACTCATTATTGCTTGGTATATTGGTGTCATTCCCTCCATATTACTATAGTATTTTGAATTAATATCTACTCCATCTTTAATAAGCTTTTCAGCCATTTTTATTTTTCCTGTTTGGATCGAATGGAATTGGTTTAATAAGTGAAAATCAAATATTTTTTTAAATGAATTAGTATTACCTTTTTTAATTGCATCAAGAAGCTCCACGCCTAAATAATGAAGCAAACATAAATTCCAATCGAAGAGAAATGATTGTTTGAAAGTTACCCTTTGAATTTATATCTGCCAAAATTGAACTTAGCTGATCTGAAAAATGATAGATCCCATTTCAATTGATGGCTACATTGTACGTATATAGTGCTTCCACAACAAAATGCCATTTGTAAATTAAATTTATATACCTTTGACAGTACACAGCTTGATTGGGGGAGATCTTGCCAAATTTTGTATACTTAAGCGAGCTCCGTTTTCTATGAATAATTTCATCATGTCAACATCATCTGTCAGATACAAAAATACAAAATGAGATCAATCAATGTTTACACACTATGGAATGTGAGATGATCGAAAACGCAAGGTTAAACAAATACGAATTTACGTGGATAATACAATTGTGTTTCGGTTCTTGAAACTTCAAAAATGAATCGAAAAATCGACGTTTGGAAAATTACCATGACTGCTCGCGATGTGTAGTGGTGTATTAAGGAAGAAATCTTGTGCATTAACATCAGCACGGCTATAAACAAGCAGTTTTGCTACTTCGTAATGACCTGAATAAGTCAAGAGAAACATTTAGCATGAAAAATGTGAACTCAATTGTGGTATGAAATTCTTATGAATAATATTACCATTATCAGCAGCAAAGTGAAGAGCCGTCATTCCTTGCACAGAACGTGTATTAAGATTCACACCTTCATCGATGAGTTTTTCTAAAATCTGCGTATTACCTATTTATAAAAGCAACTTTATCAAGAAGAACATAATTTTTCGTCTTTGAATGTATTAAAGTTACCAACGCTAGCCGCAATAAGAAATTCTTCATCTGTTCATAAAAAAAACTTATAACTTTTATAAAAATCGCATAAACTTCTTCAGTTTGTGCAAAATATTTCGAAAATGTACCTTTACTTTTGGGTCTTCCATTTGGAGAACTCACACTACTCAGTGAGCGTAAGATATTTTTCAATGAGAGTTGTTCCTTTATTGAAATTTGTTTTTTGAAACTAAAATCGACCGCAGATACCTGATTTTAACACAAAATGAATAGAATAAAGTATTTTAACGACAAAGCGATAGAGAAACTCACAAAATATTTGTCCACAAAAAGCAGCACAAAAAATACGCAAAATAATTTCATATTGATCGAAAACATACGATTAGAAGTGAACGACTACTGATCGCAAGAGTTCATAAAAATATATTAATTTTTTATTCGATGAATATCTGTTTTTATACAATTCTCGTTGCCACATCTGTGCTTCAACGTATTTAAAATGCTCTATAGAATGTTGTCATCTCAAAACAAAAAAATTCCAAACACATGTGTATTCCGAAAATATTCCGATATATCTTTTTGCAAAATTTTAATTATTAAAGCTAAGAAATAAGAATTATTAATTTGACAAAAAATGCGAAGAATTGTTATAATTTTCCGCTCTTTAAGTCTTCAAATATCGCCTTTGATACGGACCGAAGAAATGCTTGTGCCTCTAGAGCTGTAGGTAAGATTTGGCCAACGGGTAGAAGATATCCATAACGACCCATATCACGTAATTTTATAGTGTATGTATATTTGATGCCAATACTTCGAGCCCAATCGTCGGGACTACCGGTCGCTGGTTTAGATACCGAACTAACAATATAGCTTTGATTTTTCAGTGCATTCATTTGCTATATTGAAAATAAAAGAATGTAACATACATATAATCAAAATATATTTCATATGAATATATATCGTTACCTTTACTCCTTCTTCGCCAACGCGCTTCAAAGTCTCACCATGTGACATTGACATTCTACAACCAGTAGGATATGTAATGTATCTACCAAAACTACGGAAAGTGAGGAATGCACAAAATTTTTCTACGGTTCTATTGAAAAAACCTTGAACTGCTTCTGTTTCTGGCTCGGAGAAAGGACGAGGACCACCATAATTTTCGTTACATTCATTAGTTAACGTGGATCCATGTCCATTCCAATTATATCCAAAGTTTCGCGTCAAATCCACTCCCACACAATTACCTCCTTTCGAATTACGATTCTTTCGCCAAAATCGATTGCCATTTTGATGTGAAAATTCATATCCGTCCGGATTCAACACAGCCACAATATGCCAATTTATATTCTTAACGTGTTCCGGCTGCTTATTCCAGTTCAAGACCAAATCATTCGCAATGTAAGTTACAGCTGCTGGACTAACCCATTCGCTTGCATGTATACCACCATCAATCCAAATTGCTTTGTTCGCTGCTTTGCCATTCGAAATTCTAAAGAAAGAAAAAGTTCTCAAAACAAGTTGTTGATACTTTGGAACAAAATTGATACCTTAATAAAACGAGTGGACGTCCTTCAGGTGTTTGTCCAATATTTGAAACCTTGCACAATTTGGGATACTTTTTAGCCAAATGTTTTAAAAATGCGTAAATATCGTCAAAACGATGATATGCTTGCCAAGTTAACGCATGTCCTAAAATATAAAGAATAAGTTCCGACTCCTTTTGGGGCAAAACAGATGCACAAATTCACCATTTTGTCTTTGTTGTTTCTCAATTTCCTTCTGTGGGGGATTTTCTTGAAGCCATTCATGCACATATTTTTGCTCTCTTACTATTTTCAATGCCACGTTTTTAGAATTCGAAAGAAAAGAGATACCTAAAGAAAACAGATATGTGATAGTCTGAATTATTTGAGCAAGTGTTATACTACATGTAAAAAATAGCAAATTTTACTTTTCAATGCTGCAAATTCCCGTAAAGTCATTCCACTTGGAGTTGTTCCAGATACATCGGCTCCACTGAACTCAAGAAATGTAACAAAATAATTCTTACCCAATGATATTGCCTCATAAAGAGGCGTCTTTGCTTCTTGATTCTCATAGTATTCTAAATCAATATCCACTCCCTCGCTAATTAGCTTGTTAAATATATTCATTTGTCCTATATCAACAAATAGATTTTTTTTTTAGATAGGATTACTTTCTTTCAACAACTAGTACTAATCTTACCTTTTTTAATTGCATCAAGCAGCTTCAGACCTGAGAAAGCAAGTGGAAAGGAAAAAAAATTGGAATTTTTCAATTTGTAAAATTACTATAATTTTATAGTGTTCAATAATTACCCTTCGCGTTTATTTCTGATAAAATTGGACTCAATTGATCTGAAAAAAATGAGATCTTATATTAATGAAAAATTATCAGCGGTGAATAAGGTTTTCAATTTCAGTTTAAACATCCTCTGAAAGAAAACTCAAATTTTGCATAGTGATAGCTGACCATCAAGACATCATTCATTCTCTTGTCACAACAAAAACAGGCCGAAATTGACATAAAGGCGAAATACATTTTTAAACTTCTCGCGGCAGGAATGTCAATTTAAATTTTCATTCAAACATTGCAAAATTGTGCTTACATACATACCTTTGACAGTACACATCTTGATTGGGGTGTAGTTTGCTAAGTTCTTTATACTTAAGCGGGCTCCGTGTTTTATTAACATTTTCATCATTCTTGGATTATCTGAAAGGATTTTTCAAGGAAAGGATATTGAAATATTGAATTATAAATTGAAAAAAAAAAACCGTCTTCTTATCGCATTCCAATAATATTAAAATACGAATTGTATGAAGACTCCCACGTGTAAATTCCATACATATGCAAAAATTTTGTGTGAGACGTTTTTTTTTTCTTGAGACATCACGAGATAATTAACGAATTGTTCAAAGAATGTGTATTCACGCTTGGAAAATTACCGTTACTAGAAGCGATGTGAAGAGGTGTATTGAAAAAGAGATCTTGTACATTGACGTCAGCACCACTTTCAATCAGAAATTTGGCAGCATCGTATTGACCTGAATAAAAAATTTAAATGCAAATGTTAAGAACACTTTGCTTTAGTTTTCATGAATAATGTTACCGTTTTCAGCAGCCCAATGCAGAGCAGTCATACCGTGATGGTCACAAGCACTAATATTTGCACCTTTTTCAATAAGTTTTGATAGAAGGTATGCATTACCTAAAACAGAACGCATGTAGCAAATCATAAGGATTTAAATGTATTTTCCCTTTTAAAATAATAATCTTACCAATGGCAGCTGCTGTAATAAGCTCTTCATCTATTCCAAAAAAAAAAAAAAAAAAAACTTTTCTATAGTTTGTTCAAAAACTATATAGAAATTATAAAAAGCTAACCTTTATTGGCTGGATTAAAGTCACCCGAACCACTTGAGAGTTTTCGAAGTGAACTTTGTAGTAACTTTTGTTTTGTAGGAACACATTCACATACATGCATCTGATATTGGAATAGAATGAAATGGAAAAATATACTTGGCTACTTTGTTACGTGTTTTGTACAATTCAGTCGAAAGATAGCTTTTTAATAATGCATATTTAGTGAGAAAATGTGAAAATAATTCCATAAGCATGCATATTCGTTTTTTTTTAATTCAATTTAAAATCACATTCACAGACATGCAATAAACATGAATATTTCATTTAATATCGAACTCAAATTGCCATAAATCGCAATACGAAATATACGGTTACAAATCGACAATTATTTCATGCACAAAAGTAACTGGAAAAACTCACCAAATTTTCGGCGATAAAAAGAACGACCAAAACTGTATTGAACATCTTAACTAAGTATATGTACTGTACACTATGAAAGAAAAGAAATCAGAGTTTTAAGTTCACGGTTAACTTCTTATTAATTAACATAAGATACTAATCGTTTATTTAACGACTAACTGTTTATATACAATTTCTTGAAATAAAAAAAAGTTAAACGAAAATTGGAATGATATGAGTATCGACTACACGTTTAAAGACAAAAATATTATTATCTATGGAATTTATGAAATTTATTTATGGAGCATGCGATCTTCGACTGATCAATAATTATAATTAATAACAATCAACAGAACTTTCACATGACTGTCTATGTAACGGTTAAAATTTCTTTTATTTATTTAAATTCGTAGTGTTTACTTAAATATCTTGTCATTTTTATTTTCAAAAAATTGAAAACACGCTAACTACGTATAAATAAAAGCGACGAAATGCTTTGGATGAAAACTCGATTTTATAACGGTTGCACAAGCATTAACTTATCGATTTAAGCCAACGGTAGCAAACCATTATGCACATGCATACAGATGAACAAAAACAGCGAACCATATTTTTCAAAATTTATCATGCCATTTCGTGTGTTTCATTCTACGATATTTGTTCGATAAGAATATGAAGGTGACCGCGGCAATTTTGGTTATTAAATCGATTTTTAAAATTTCAACCAAACAAATATATAAAAACGCCATCCGTTTGTTGCACTTTCCAATGCCGCTAATGTGGCAGATAGAGAATAGATGCCAACGAAGACATTCTCAGATTGAAGCAGAAGCAGGAGCCAAAGGTTATCTGATGACGCATCAATTTGGTGCTAGGTGTGTTCTATAATTACGGAAATTTCCTTTTTACAAATAAACAAAAATCAGCAGGGGTCAATATTCATTGATGGTCTCACAAAATCCACATTTAATTCGATATACTTTGATTTTAGAAATAATGCACGTCATTTTAATCAAAAGTGTATCGCATTTGAAAGTGAAATGAGAAATTGTATCTAACATGTTAAATCACGTTGCTTGCTCGTCGTTGGTTTCAACTGAAAATGATTTAGTATTGCGTGACAGTTTGATGATCTGACCCCATTGAAATCGAGAGCCAATCAAATCCAAATGCACATTTTTGCACGTTGTTGTGTGCAAGCAATTTGTTTGCATCGCATGACTTATTATTACTACTTTTTCTTCTTCTTCTTCTTATGTTTCAATATTTGTTAGTCGAAACGTGTGCTGTGTATGAATCGCAAAATTACGAGAATCCGCTTCTCAATTGAATGTGGTTTTTCGATGCTTGCGGTTTATCAGCACTGGTGTGTATATCGCTGGCACTCGATTTGCCAAACGAAAACTTCAATCAAAGTTCATTCATCGTTGCACGGGCATATTTTAAATGGATTTGATCGAGCCACATCGGCCGATCAATGAAATAGAAATTTGATATATCCATTTGAACTCGCCTTCACTATATGCCATATATCAGTGAGGCCATGTATTTACTTTTTGTGATTGGCAATCACGATCGTGCCACGATCTTTATTAATAAACAACAAATATACCATAATTAGCGAACAACATTACTTGATATGATAAGTTGTAAAATTCACACTACATTATGGCCGTTATCGATGCGGCATTTTTTTAAAAATATAAACGAAAGGTTTCCTGTAGATTTTTGAATTTTATTCATTTCTTAACGAATAATCGAATTTTTATTTTCTTTCTTTTTCTTGCAGCAAATCCAAGTTCACCGGTTTTGAACGCATTCACAAAAACAGCGAAAGTAATTCTCAAACAAAGTAGAAGTTGTATCGAGAGAAGGACGAATACGATAAAAGTCGACAAAATGGTGTATTAAATGGTTGTAAAAACAAACGTTGCAGCCAGCACCAAACAACATCAGAGGAGGAAACCTTTGCATTTCTTTAATTGAAAGCACATAACTTGCTATATTCATTTGCATTTCGCCTTTGCAGTAAGGTGTACGTAAATCGAATTTTAGAAAAGTGATAATAACGGCGTGGAAGATCTCTCATTGCGAAATTGAAACATTTCCAAACTGACGAGACACACCCACACATACACATAAAATCGTTTTTTCACATGAAAAAGTGAATTGAAATCGATTCTGGTCTTCTTCTTTTTTTCGTTCAAAACAACGAATTTCTATACGACGTTGCCACTACGAGATAAAATACTGAGAGAAAGCAAACATGGAAACTTCAATGACTGAAAAACAAACCATATCAACTAGTCCAATGAAACAGTCAGTATCAATGACATCGTTGATGCCACCGCCAACATCAACGGAACGCGATCGAGATGTCAGCGATTCATCAATCGCCGCAAAAGTTCGCATCGAACGGCCATACAACAGTCTCAAGGTACGTTATTTAAATTGATATTTGTGTGACTGACGAAAATATGCATGTCAAATATTTGCTTGTGTCCTTGCATTCCATGCTAATTGCATTTTCGCTTTGTCCTCTTTTCGTCGCATTTTTCATTTCAACTGACCGTGCACGATATAGAAAATCCAGTCAAACAAGCAATAGACCCCTTTTACTTTTTTCTATCATTCCATTCGATGTGCATGCGAATAATGCAATAAAAAGGAAAGCACCAAGTGTATTTGGCGCTTGGACTTGAATAATGAATGGAAATAGAGACGAGAATAGAGTGAACGATAGAAGTTTGCATGAATTGTTGATAAAATATTTGTGTGTCTAGCCACCCAAATGCATTGCAATTAGTCTGTATATTTGCATAAAATAAAATTTAACCATAGCACAACCGTATGTCGTGCTTCGAATACCAAGTTTCCGCCTTTTATTCTATGAACCAATGTTTTTTTCTTCTTCTTTCGTTCAGACTCATAAATATTTTCGTTCTTTACCCATGCAAACAACATGTATTTAAAGTTTCAATTTACAATGCAATTCTAAAACGAAACATCAGGCTAGTGCACAAACATTACACACATCACACATTTCAAATACAATGAACTTTTATACGGCAAAAGAATAAAATCATTCCATTTAAATCAGGTTTTTGGAACAATCGATCAGTAAATTAACTTTAATATCAAAATTTACAACGAAGTACACATACGATTTTATGACGATTGAAAGACTAGACAAACATATGAAAAAAAAAAAAAAAAAAATAACAAATCTGTTCATGTGAATGGCTTGCTCAACTTGTTTTGCTCTTTATTGTTTGAATACAATAACAATATTCGAAGTGAATGAAGTTGTAGAATGTGGTGACGTCTAGATGGCGCTTTTTCCACAAATTAACTAGTCTTGGGTAAGCGATTGATTCCAATCATTGTTCTTCGTGCGCGCCATCTATCGAAACACAATTGAACGTGCAAATCATGCGATCTTTTCTTCATTTTCCACTTTCATTAACTTTACCGTACCACAAGAAGTTTAAGAAAGCACAAAAAGCTTAAGAAAATATGCTGAGAAGTAAAACATTTTCCAACCGTTTACACGAACTCCAGTGAATATATTCAGCATTTTTTTACCGTTTTCTTGAAACGAATGTGTAATATGCAAGAAATATTTTTTCCTCTTTCTTATAATTTTGTACATGTTTTTTTTTTTTTTTCAATAGAAGGAACGCAATTCGGAAAAGGATTTATGGCGTAATTCTTGGGGCAGCAACCAGAGTTTTGTTGGAAAAGATGATTTCTGGTTGGCATTACAATCAAACTACAACTATATCATGGACACAAATCTAATCGATAGTTGCCGTGAAGCGCGCGGAGAATTGGAACGGAACTATTCGACCGAAACCAGTCAGACAGACCAAAAGAAGGTGAGTGTCATTTATCATCAGTTTGTTAATTGCACAAAAAATGACACCTTTGAAGGTTTTGATTTGCAAGAAATGTGCCGGGAATTTATTTAATTCTCACTCTCTTTCTTTTCTCTCTTTCGCTCTCGATATTTTATTTGCAGATAAATGGTGGAAAGCAGTCCGATGATTATATTGTTGATTTGAAACGTTTGAGACTTTGGTTGCGTGAGATGGAAAAGCAACTGGCTCAATTTCCTACAATTTCTGATGCCATAAAAATGAAAGACTTTGAACTAGAAAGATTGCAGAAAAAGAATGAGGTAAGTTGATTTCCGCCTTTTCCCAGCCCAAATTGTGTGTTTCTCTCTTTTTTTTGCTCAAAGGAAGAAATCCATTTCGAGAAGAGAGAAAAAAAAAACAGAAACATTTTGATGGATTAGATCAAGTGGTTGCTTTCGCTTTCATAAAATAATTCACTCAATCATGTTGAAAGCGAGGAAAATTTGTTTTCGTTATAGTTTTAAATCAGTAAGATCAATGACACATTGCATTTTCTTCGTGTGTTTTCATTATCGTTTCCTGCTGTGCGCATTCAAATCATGGCTATTTGATTAGCACCGCCATGCTTATGCTATAATTAATGAGTCATTCCATATCACACATATATGCATATTCGCAATATATAAATCCAGCTCAAATGAAAACAAAGGTGAATTTGATTGGCAATAGTTATGACTTCATGATTTCCTTTTTCAAAGCGGCTGCTGCAGTGAAATGCATAAATAATAATATTAATACAGAGAAAAAAAAATGTATATCGTAAACACTGATAAATGGTGCATAAAATGAATTGCGCTATTGGCGATTTTCTTATTAAAACTACACAAATACGATCAATTAACCAATCGTAAAATAAGAGTTTGCATTCGGAGTTGCCAAGAAAATGATTAAAATGGGTGAAAAATATCATAACCCAATTATAGTCGAACGTCTTAATCGGCCATCATGTGGGTCTCAAACGTTATCACTACTACGTACTGCAAAGTGAAAGAAAACAGTTTCGAGTCGTCGACGATACATCTTATGTGCGTGTTTGTGCGCCAATAAATCGGTTTTTATGGATTATGTTCTGATTAAATCGAACGGCATGACCGTCTTTTTTGCATGCAACAATCAAAAACGTCAATCGACATGAAAATCCACCACAAGCCAAACGAACATGAACCACGACAAACTCACAATGATGCTAACGATATCATGGTGAACATTTTTTTTTCCACTCAAATGAGTTTTCTTTGGCGAAAGCAATATACTTTCATCAATGATGGTGATTGCCACAAAGGAAAAAAGAAGAGAGAAAAAAGTCATTAATAGAAAAGTCCAAATGAATTTATTGGAGTTGTATATACAATCTCACCATATATTCTTAGCGCTATTGTCCATATGGTATTGTCAACGCAACTCTCTCGTAAACAAGATAAAATTAAATGAAAATTAGGTTTTTCATCACATCGTACATTTTGTGGTCGTAATTATTGCCGCTCTGTTTGCATGCAATAATTTTTGTTTTTGTGATCGAGTTGTAGGCTACAAAACAATTTTTCATTGCAATTGCCATCGACCTCAATCGTTTCGCGTACTTTATTGCTCTCGCCAATTTTAACATAGCATTTGACTTTTTCCAAATCAATGTATTTTCGTCTTGTTGCTTGTGCATTATCACGACACCAAAATCTAAAAGTGTCAAATGAAATGTTAACAACCACCTACTGGGAGGCTGTTTTATATTTGAAATTTTCTGTTGTTGGTGCTGTTGTTCATTTCGTGTCTCTCATTCAAAAGCAATTATTGTGTTTTGTGTGCAAATTTCATTTACAAAATGTCAATCGATGTTTATGACGATTGGGCTGTGGGGCGAAAAAAACAAAACAGACGCTTCAGCTCGCGATCGATTTGAGCATTGACATTTTCAAATTTGTTTATTGATTATTTGCGGAAGCTTTAAGCCTCGTTTATCAAGTATTTGATTATTTCATTTGGTTGGCCGTGGGTTGGGTTAATCGCGTTGATTACATTGGCAATGCGTCGATGCAATTGAGTCATTGTTAATAGATAAGCTGGTTTTTTTTTCTATCATTATACTTATACCTGTGAAGAACCGATTAAATGTTGTCATCAATTTACTGGCTGAGCGGAGTTATAAAATTGGTTGCGTTACAATGTTTGTCAGCTTTTAGTGCGACAATGATTCATAGCCGAAACAATATTTTTGAAATTTTGTACATTTATGGCGATCGTTTGTTGATTCTCACGTGCATGCTACCATTGCTCGAATTTACAATCGAGGCGAACACTCTTCATACAGTATCTAAATAGTTTCCGTTTAATTCATATGTCGTTTTGTGCGTTTTTTTTTTCGTTTGCTTCTTCTCTGTACTCACAATACGTATCTCTCATAAACATATGAATATAAATTTCTTTAAGATTTGCCATTTGCTCAACTGCGTCGCCATCATTGTCGACGCAAAAAGTTATAACTGTCAAGATATTAATGAAATTTATGCAAGCGATAATCATAAGAAACTTACAAAGGATGAAGATAAAGCAATAAATGTAACTTTAGCTTCAAATGCGATATTTTTTTCATCTGCCTAGATTTTATAACTCATTGAAGACTATAACTGTTTAGGCTGACGCAAGTAGTATGGGAAACGCAATCCCGTAAATAATGCTGCACATTTCTATTAGATCGAGGAAACAAAACACACACACTCAAAGGCTTTTTTTTTTGTTTCGCTGGAAGTAGTCACTGCATAAAATAAATTGAAAAATTGTTTTGCCGGAGTTTTTTTGCAGCCAAAATGCTGGAAACAAAAATAAAGGTTTTGCCTTCGGTGTCGATGATGATGTCATAGCCTTTTCTTAGTATTCGATTTACGCTGCCGTTTCGGTATATGAGAGCGTTTGGATGTTGAAAGAAAAAAAAGAATACTTTTTTTTCGGTTTCGCATTCTCATTGCCAATATACATTGGAACCACGTCAATCTTGAGTGCAATGAATGAAAAACCAAATGACGAGAGCGAAAACCACATTCTGAGACACAAAACCGAAGGAAGATAGAAAGAGAAAAACGCATTTATTTTTGTTTTGTTGGCAATTTTGTTTTGGTCACACAAAAAAACCAGCATGCAAACAATCAATTTTTTGGCATCATTCAAATCTTATTTTTTTCCCTCTTTGACTACTTCTTACGAACAAACGAAATAACCGAATGAAGAAAGAGAAAAACGTTTATGAAAAAAACAAACGACAAGAACTTAAGCGAGAATAATTGCATATATTCCAACTACAAATTATTTACGGGGTCTCAAGATTTATGTGTTCATCTAACTCTTTTTGTGCGATCATCGTGTGTTGTAAAATGATCGTATGTATAAGATCGATTTTTGAATTTTACCTGTATTTCTGAAGCCCTAAAATATTTATCCTCGGGCTAAAATTAATAAAAATTCATGTTTTTCTCTGGTTTGCTTTTGTGTGTGTGTGTCGGTTTTACCTCGCTCTTTGGGCTGGCATCGATTTCAAAGCAAAGAAGTGAACGAATTTCGTTCAATTTAAATAAATCAATGCGAAAGCGTGTTCACTTAATACGTATATTTTGTGTGTTGAAGTTTACATTATGGTAAAAAGTGATGCAGACGAAAACATTTCATTACATAATACAAGAACGATTGCCTCACCAGATAATTATGACTGCTCAGCTTGTGAAAGAATTGAATGTATTCGTTCCGTTTTCTTCGATGCGCAACAAGTTTGCCAGATTTTAGTGGCCGTCGTGAATTTCGATAGGTACATACATTGGCATCTTAAAAGGAATTGAACAATTTTACAGCGCTCGATTCTTATTGGCAATAGATCCTATCTGCTGTATTTTCCATGTAAACAACAAGTCCGAATCGAACCACTGTGCTATACACACACACACGCCAATGTTCGGTAGCTAAAAAAGGTCATTGCTTGTGGTCGTATTGCGAAAAGACACGGTAACTACTTGACAGCAACAGCTGTCCTTGAACCAAGAACACCCAATTGAATCTATTCTTCACTGTATTTTATGTGTATTTCATCAAAATGTTAACGATTCACTTAATGATTTTTCTTTTTCTACCAAGAATCAAACACCTTTGTGGCACAACTCTCTTTCTCTCACGAGAGTATTTCATATTTATGAGTTTAAAATTTATTGCACAGTATAAATTGTTCGAAAAAGAAGTACATCATTGTGTGTATATCTTCATGGACTTGGTGTGTATAACGACCTGCGACCGAAAAAAAGGAGCGAAAAAAAACTATTATCGAACACGCAATTTAAGCGTGGTTGCGCGATGGAACGCATAAATGGCAAAACGGCGGCATGCAATTTTCGATTTCGTCGAATGTAACGTTCTGCTGCACAAACGCTGAATGCACAACCAATTTATGCATGTGTAACAAATAACTCTGCAGCGGCTAACCGAAACGATTGCCCGTCGCTATTTCAGTGTGTGCCTTTATTTGTAATTCATTCGCATGAATGCGATAACGTACACTATACGCGAACGGCAAGGGCATTCTGTGTGAAGTCGTATGAACTCACTCAATTTACTCTGTGATAGCTCTCTTGTTGACGAACTTTGCAAAAAAATAAATAACATATATAACAAAAAAAAACGAATGAAAGAAATAAGTTTCAAAGCAGATTGAGAGTGAGTCGTGAGGAGGCTCAAGCTCGAATAGAATACAGTATAAAAAGATGATGGTGTGAGCGACCCTGTCTGAGTTAACAGTGCGAAACGTATAGAATACAGCAGAGATAATGATAGAACACAACAATACAGAAAAGTTCGCCGAGTAAAATGCTGAATCGTACAAATGGCGAGAGAGAGTGAGATGGATGGAAAAAGGTTAAAATGCCGGTACACACAATATATATAGTTGAAATTCGCTACGTATTTCGTTAGACACTAGCAAAATTCATCATCAAGTCTCAACAGTCTTGATAAATTATTGTTGTGAGTCGCTTTTTAGTATGACACACCGAGTAGGCCCCTTTCGACTGTATGTGTTGAACGGAATGGGAAAAAAATCGAACGCTCACTATAGACACACACATAAAATGATCAACAATCAACACAGAACAACTCATACTCCGGCATTCACACTCACTTGTACAACAAACACATACAACGTACTCAGTCTGCTGCTTGCAGGCTACATTGTATATCGAATCGTTCGCTTTATATTGTGTTCAGTGCACAACAGCAATCGACTAGCCGTCGA